CACATACACACACACACACACACACACACACACAATGGCTAGAGTTGAAAAATATTCTTCACACAGGACATTTATACTTATTTTTTTAAAAAATATTTATTTTTTAGTTATAGGTGGACACAATATCTTTATTTTACATTTATGTAGTGCTGAGGATCAAACCCAGCATCCCTAGCCTCATGCGTGCTAGGCGAGCACTCTACCACTGAGCCACAACCCCAGCCCCATATTTAATTTTTTTTTTAAAAAGGGATCATGTCAACCTCAAGTATTTGAGTATCATATTTTAATAACATCACTGACAAACTCAGTATCCAAAGTGTCTTCCAGAATCATGTGCCATTTACACAATCGCCAGAGTGAAGTTTCCTGTAAGGACTGTCCCTGCTGGGCCAGGCCAGGACGTTGAAGGGGGTTATGATGGCTGTCCCCAAATCCTTTGAAAAGCTTTGACTAAAGAATGTTAGACTTACTCTGGGTAGTTTCAGAGGACAAAACCAGTGTCAGTGAAAGGAAGTAAAGGAAAAGCAGTCTCTACCCAGGGGAAGAGAGAGTTCCCAAATAGGGAAGTCCAAAATGATACTGACTTCCTTGTTAGGGCCAGTGCTTCTCCCTACTGACTTACATTTTGTCTAAGACATAAAGATTTCCCACGGCCATATTGATTTCATGTGATTATTTGAATTAAAGATGATTTATTAAATTTATGACAAAATATAATTTGAGTCTAGGTCCCTGTTTAACATGATTGTCTTAGGTTAAGCAGGCTGATTTTTAGTTTACAAACATGAGGGATTCCTATATTTAGGTGGAGACTTAGATTCAAAGGAGGCCCAGTCCTCAAATCCTATGTCAAATAGGATGCTGTTAGTGATTGAGCATGAGGAGATGCCCAGGAATCAATCTCACTGGCTCTGCCCTTGAGTGGTGTCAGTGTTAGTTTAACAGAGAGTGGCCCAAGGTTCAAAGCCCATTAAAATAACTGGAAGGGAGGGGGATTGGGAACTAGCTACTCATTTCATATGTTGAACTCCTGCTGTGTATTTCAGCAACAAAACGTATTTGCAACATTGTCATAAAGTACTGATTTTCTAAATGTAAAAGAGCTCCTACAAATCAATAAGAAAAAAACCAAAGACTCAAATTGAAAGTGGACAAAATAAATGTATAGACAGCACATGATCACTTCTTGGCCTTTTGGCTAAGATCAAGGGTAGACAGAACATGAAACAGGACATGCTACCTCTTATACATTTGAAAAAAAATGCCCAGAATCACACAAGAAACTCATTTTAAATGACAGTAAAAACCACCCCATGCCCACTGGTATTGCTGCTATTGAAAAAAATTTAAAAAGTGTGTTGGCAAAGATGTGGACAAAATATAACTCTGTGCACTATTGATGGGAATGTGAAATGGTGTGACTGCTGTGGAAAACTGTTTATTGGGTCCTCAGAAACTTAAAAATAATATTTCCATATGATCAGTAATTCTACTTGTGGGTTTTTACCTAAAAGAAGTGAAAGAAGGGTCTGGAAGAGATATCTGTACACCCACATTCAGAGCAGCTGTTATTCACAACAGCCGAAAGGTGGAAGCAACTCAAGTGACCATCAGCAGACGAATGTAGTATAGCATACATGGACTAGAATTCAGTCTTAAAAAATAAGGAAATTCTGACATGTGCTACAACAGGGTGGACCTTGAAGACAATATACCAAGTGAACGAAGCCAGTCGCAAAAAGACAGAGACTATATGATCCCATTAACACCTAATATAGTCAAATTCATTGAGATAGAAGATGGAAGGGTGGTTTCCAGGGCCTGGGAGAAGGGGAGAATAAAGAGTCATTGAACAGAGTTACAGAGTTGTAACGATACATTTTACATTGGTACAGAGTTAAAGTTCTGCAAAATTAAAAGACTTCTAGAGATGGATGTGATGGTTGCACAGTAATATGAATCTATTTAATGCCAATGTATATTTGAAAATTTTTAAGACAGTAAATTTTGTGTTATGTGTATTTTACCACAATAACAATAATTTTAAAAATCGTAACAAGATGCCATTTTAACCTTTCCTAATGGCAAAGATCACAAATTAGAAAACACAATATTGACCCAAAGAGTGTGAAAATAAGCACTCTTGTGTTTTGTTGATGGAAACATTAACATGCAATCTTAAGATAGGACAAATTTTCAATATATGTAAAAACTAAAATTGCATTACTCTTTAACAAGTCAAGCAAGTCTACTGCAAAGAATATAGCACTCTCTTGCAATTTTGTGGCGTATAATTGCAACAAAGGATTGGAAACGATCTAAATGTTCCTTAGTGGGGGCTGGCAAAAAAAGTATTGCCCTCTAATAGCATATGGTAGAATAATATGCAACATTAATGTGAGAATACTCATTACATACTGATACAGAAGAATCTCCAGATGGTAAGTGTGCAAAATTATGTATAGAATGCTACCCTTGAGTTTAAAAATAAAAGGAGAACAGTTTAAGGGGCTATTATTTTATTTTGCCTAAAATAACTCCAAATAGAGGCAAGAAACTGGTATCAGGTAACAATGGTCACTCCAGTTACACCTACAGAGAAAATCTAGATAATGATGCAACAGTTGGGAGACTTTCTTTCTACTGTTTCTCGTCTTTTTTTTTAAGTATTTATTTTTTAGTTATAGTTGGACACAATGCCTTTATTTTATTTATTTTTATGCGGTGCTGGGGATTGAACCCAGGGCCTCGCACATGCTAGGCAAGTGCGCTACCACTGAGCTACAACTCCAGCCTGTCATCTTTACCTTTTAAATTTAGTAAAATTTACAGATGTAATCTATTTTAAAACTTTAATTAAAAAATAAACATTATAGTCTAGAAAGAAAGAAATATAACAGACACATTTAACCCAATGCCCTGCTCTAGGTGCTGTGGAGGCAGAGGGAAGGGTGCCTAGCACCTTGGGATCAAGAGTGGCTTTAGACAAACCACACCATGGAAGAAATTTCCTCTATTAGGTAAAGAATAGTTGTGTATCTTCTAAGTTACAGTTTGTTTTGTATGAACAAATCTGTGAATTAATGGAAAATCCTGTGGATTAATTCACCAGTTAGGTTTTCCTTTTCACCTTGACTGTTAAAAAGTTACAAGCCAGCTAGGTGTGGTGACACATGCCTATAATCCAGCAACCCAGGAGGATGAGATAGAGGATCACAAGTTCCAGGCCACCATGGTATCTTAGTGAGACCCAGTCTCAAAATTTAAAAAATGAAAGAGGTCTGGGGATGTCTCTCAGTGGTAGAGCACCTCTGGGTTTGCTATACTGGGTTTCCCAGTATAGCAAAAACAAAAACAAAAACCCAAAAAACAAAAAACTTAACTTTGAAAAAAGCTAGAAGCAAACTTATGCCCCACCAAATGCATGTTGGCAGATTCCTATGGTAAGCATTTAGCATTAGCTTTGTCCCAAGTTCCATTTTATATTCCCATATTTGGCTTTGTATTAGCCAGCCTTGTGTCATGGTGACCAAAATACCTGACAAAAAACAACTTAGAGAAAGAAGAGTTTATTTGGGCTCATGATTTCAAAGATCTTAGTCCATGACTGGTCGACTCCATTGCTCTGGGCCTAAGATGATGATGGAACTTGATGGCAGAGGGTGTGGCACAGAAAAGTTTCTCATGGTACCCAGGAGGCAGAGAGAAAATGCAAAGAGCCAGGGACAAAATATATCATCCCCAAAGCATATCCCCAGTGACCTGCTTCCTCCAGCCATGCCCCACTTGCCTACAATTACCCCCTCCCCAGCAATCCAGCCAAACTATTAACCCATTGCTTAGATTACAGATCTCATAATCTAATTGTTTTACCTCAAACGTTCCTGGATTAACACATGAGCTTTGCAGGAGGACACCTCATATCCAAACCATAACAGGCTTGCTTTTCAACTTATTTCCAATGTTGGTTCTTTCTTTTTTCTTTGCTTTCTGTGTAATCCACCTTACGCCCATTTTTGTATAAATGGGGTAAGTGGGTCTGTAGTGAAGGAGGGAGAAAGGGAAAGAGATTATGAATTCATGCATGTCGTTTTCTTTGGCTCCATCATGTAGACTGAGTAAATGTTCTATTGTTGTGTTTCTCAGAGTGTGGTCCTTGGACAACAGCATCCATCACCTGTGAGATTGTTAGACATAAGCATTCACGGGGTTCAACTCTACCTACTAAATCAAACTCTTTATGATAAAGCCTTGGAAACTGTTTTACATGCTCTCTGGCTGATTTTGATGCACATTAAAAGTGAAAAACACAAGGAAACAAAAGAAAGATTGATTTTTAAATGTAACTACCCTCCCTGTGACCCATTAGACCTGCTGTGTTGTTCAAAAGAAGTAATGCTAGCTACTGTTATAAATAATCCCCACAATTTTATTACCCAACAAAATAAGTTTCCTTATTTTATTTTATTTTTTCCAATGTCACAGTCCAGTTTGGATCAGTTCTGGGGGAAGTGTGGAGAGAACAGTTTTATTAATTTGTTCAGCTAAACAGTTCTCCTCCATAGTAGAATTTGCCATTTTCTAGGACCTTGAATGTTTCCTCTGAATTCCCTGCATCTAAGAAGCAGGAAAGAGAGAGAGCAGGAAGGAGGCTTTGATAGCCATGTCTGGAAGTAACGTTCATTTTTTTCTGTTCACAATTTCATTGGTTGGAACCCAGTCATGTGGCTAACATCAGGAGAGGCCGGGAAATATGGCCTATCTGTGGAACTAAGAGGAAAAGGAAATAGCTTTAGTGAGCACATAATCTTGTCTCTGCCTCACCCAGGAACCCAAGTGAATCCCAGACTCCACTTCTAGGTCTTGTTTTGGTGAACATTGGTTTCAGTTTCATTTTCTAACCAAGTTTTATCTTTTCTTTTTTAACCCTAGCATCATGGGACTGAGAATCACTCTGTTTGTGATGGCCTTCCTGCTTTCTGGTAAGAACCTTTTTACTGTGTGAAGTCCTAGAATCTTTCCACTATCTCCCAATGCATCTGATCACAGCAAGTCCAGGCCTGACACTTGGTGGGTCTTGTACCATGTACCAGGAGACTTTCCTGGAGGAGAAGGAAGTGTCATGACTGAGCCCGTAGCTCAGGTAACAGCAGGCAGGCCTGGCCTGGGATGGAACCCTCCTCAAGCATGCATCTTCTTCCATTTCACCCTCAGGGGCCTGGATGCACAGAATAAGATGGACTGGGCTATACAGTGGCATCTGGCATTGCACTGAGGCCCGGTCACTTGACTTCTGCTCACACCTAATCCTTCTGGTCTTCTCTGTCTCCATTTATGGTACTCTTGGGTTCCTAGGAAATACCTGATGGACTTCCAAAAAGCCTCCTTCTGTTACACAGCATTGTGTTCCATGTCCCCTGCCTTCCCTCCTCCTCCTGTTCCTTTCTCCACCAGCCTGTGCCCATAGACAAGTAGTCTCACCTTACTATAGACCTTCAGTTATGTCAGCAGATTTACCACAAAGCTAACAAAGCTGATGCTTCAGGGCTCCCCACTCACATAAGTCCTTTTCACGCTCCCCTTAAGACTCTCTGAAGATCCCTAGCAACCCTCACATGCCTGATGATTTGATAAGACTTAACCACTGTCTCTTCCTACTGCATCTTTTCCCTGTATCGCATTCTCCTCCTTTCCGGTGGCATTACAGTGGCCATGGGCATTTTGCCTTTGAATTATGCAAACTTTTTTTTTTAGCAATCTCTCAACCCCCAAGTTTTAGAAGCCTCAGACAATCCAGACCTTCCCTGTTTGCTGCTCTTTCTCAGTTTCAGTTTCTTCATCCTTGAACTGGGGTTAACAGAGGGTGCTTGCTGCACATCCTGTGACTCAGTGCCTTTTAGTTTCTCCCAGCCTGCTCCTTCCTGCTGTTCATTTTCTCCACCTGCAGCACTGAGGGGGAGGCCGTCCCAGTCATGGTGCGAGACAGAGGGGGCCAGTTTAGCCTGCCATTTGTCACAGAGTCCACCCCCTGGCTAACTGGCCCTGACTAACCAGCCCAGCCATAAAGTCACCTCCCCTATATTGCCACAAAACATGCCCTGGGCCACTGTCCCCAAAGGATTGGGATACCATGAAGAGATGCTCCCTCAAATTATTTGCCTGCTGGCTGGGATCGGCCTTTTGTGATTTTTGTTTTCGCTTAGCACCTTGAGGCTTGCTGAGCTCATGTGTGTGAGGTTTATAAGGGTGCTAATTGATCACTCCACAGACACAGGTAATGACAACAGCTTCCACCAGGCTGTTGAACCCTGATGCAAACAAAAGATCACCGACTCCAATTTTAAATCAAATTAAAGGAAGCTTGTATTGTGTACACAAAACAGAGAGCTGATCAGCAGCTGTCTCTCCCAATCCAGGCTAGAGATCAGCACCCCAGCTCCCCAGGAACAAGGTTTTATAGCACAAAAAGTTGCAAAGGGGGGTATCTTGAGAACTTACAGATAACAGGATTTTGACAAGCATAATACAAAGGCAGATAGCAGGTTAATGATTTACATGGCATGATATTTCAAGGTAGGGAGTAAATTCAGATCCCAACATCAGAATTTATGAGGCACTGCTAAGGTTTCAGAAAGGATTGTCATCTGGTCAGGGAAAGCCAGGCATGGGTGAGTTCACGGCTCAGGCAAACATTCCAAACAAGTTTAGAAATTGCAGTAATTTATAGTAAAACCGAAATTAACTTTTCATGACTTTGTGATGAGATGGCTCCCAATCTTAAAATGGAATTAGGCTGGGTTCATCACAGGACAGTGACCTGCTACCTTAATTTTGGGGGTGGTGAAATAAATGTGTATGTGTGTATATGTGTGTGTGGAGGGGGGTGTCTTTGTGACAAGTGCCGTTCCAAGCATTTTTGTAAATATTATCTCATAACTTGCTGTTTAGTTTTTGTTATTATTCAATATTTTATTTACTGAAGCACAGAGAGGTTGTGTAATTTACCTAAGATCAACACAGGCACTAAATGGCATAGCTTAGATTCATAGCCAGCAGTGTAGATGCTGCATCTGTTCCCTGAATGGTGACATTAGGCTACTTCTCATACCCCTTGCTAGAGAATCATCCATAATTGAGAAAATCTCCTCCTTGGGGACCTGAACAGTATTGATAGACCAATGTCACTACTGCCTTATTCATATTCTCAAGTTCCCTGACAGCACATCCCCTGCCTTACCTACAGCTAACACCTGAAGTGCCCCTAAAGCTTGGGTCCTAGTCCTTCTCATCACAGTGACCAGCCCAGCTCTTATGACCTGGGAGACAAGGAAGAAAAATACCCTGGAAACAAATTCTCAGAAAAGGCTCAAATGAGATGTCAGTTTCCCCATGAGCTTTCTGACTCTGCACATTGTAAGTGAGCAAGCAAAGCCAAGAAACCTTATCAAAACCACTCCCAGGTATAATTTTTGCCCTTGCCTTGCTTTGAAATTGCTTGGAAACTTTGTTAACTCCTAAAAAGAGTTTTATCAGTATTGAAACCTTAAAAATAACTTCTCCAAATGATACCTGTTTAGGTTTTATGGTGGGTGAAAAGATGAGAGATGATCTTGGGGGCAACACAAATTTTAAGTGGGAATAGGAAAACAGTGGCACCGATTAGAAAATAACATTGCCAGTGCTCCACAATGTTATCTCCTTCCTCCCAGGGTGCACACTGCATTCTGGTCTAGTGGGTAGTGACCAAGCCCAGGGCAGGCATCCAATGAGAGACAGGACATGCAAATAGCCCAGATAATCCACAGCAAAAATGCAGGGCTGAATAATTCATTTGATGACAAAGATTAAACACTACAGTGAAACTATTTTGTCCCCAATTGCATATTCTCCCGTGTCATAGAAATTGACACTTTATTTGCCAACCCTGCTCTTGAAGTTAAAATTAGATGAGAGTGTAAGACCGAAACGAGTAGGACGGGGCAGCCATGGCCTTGTAGAATCGGGTTATGATTTGTGATTTGTATTTATAAAGCTAAAGGGATTGCTAGGTGCCACTGCTAACCTCTGCTTCTATTCTGGTATCTGCATAACACATTTAACCTGGAACCAGTGTGGTTTTGGAAAATAAGTAGATTGAACATCTTGGGGAAGTATCTTTGCAGTTTAACTTTTCTTTATTTTTAAGATACAGGGTCTCTCTATGTTGCCCAAGCTGGCTACAAACTCCTGGGCTCAAGCAATTCTTCTGCCTCAATCCTATAGCTGGAACTAGAGGAGCACTCTACACCACTTCTGGCCCAGTTTGGCTTTTGACAGTTACTCTCCTTTTGTCTGGGGTTTCTCTTGGTCCTAGAGCTTCTCATTTCTCTTGAGTTACACCTCTGGTTCAATTAGTGTACCTGGAGTGGTAGTTGGAATCTTTTTTATGTTTTATTTATTTTCATAAAGTTGGTTCAAACTTTCATTCACAACCTATGGAAAGGTCTACTGTTTGCTGCCCCCTGGATTTTCGCAGGTTCTTGTGTGGATGGTTGTGTGAAGATAACATTTCTATGGTTAGGTTGGATTCCCATGTCCTGCTGTTGTAGATGGTGGTCACTAAAACCAGGCCCCGGAAGCAAATTACCTGTTCAGACTTACTCTTCCTACAGAATTGGCCCAGAGCCTAATGACTGTACTGGAAACACTCCCTTGTGTCAAACCACTATTTCAGGACCATTTGAAATATATGTACATTACACAGTAAGGAGTATCTTACCTCCAAATTAGTTGATCAATTTAATAGACTGTTTTTAGTAGTTTCCAGAGAGGATGAATGAACTGCCAGGCAAGTTAATCCACATTAAGAAGGATTAATACACATTAAAGGAAGAGGGTTGCCAAATAGGATGCAGGTTGCATTGTTTGAGAGGAAGAATAAAACTGGCAGAGAAGAGAAAGGCACCAATGCTGGCAGACTCCTTGAGAAAGAGCCAGAGTTTGAGACTCTGGTTCATTTTTCCTTTGTGAGAGAAAGAATCTTAATACCACTTTCTTAACATATAAGCTGGGATTTGGGCTCCCTCAATTTTATTGAGATTTATGATCAACTATACAACAATTTAAAGATATTAATTCGTTTTATTTTGTAACTCTAGAATCCAACAACACATGATTCCATAAAATAGAGTTAGGTTCTCTGAGGAGCTGAGCAAAAGAGGTTTTTGGAGAAGGGCCAAAGCAAGCAGAAACAAAGAGCAGATTGGTCAAAGTTACTTTCCTTGAAAGGTGGGGGCAAGGAGTCAGAACAATAGAAAATGAACAATTGGTTAACATCCGATTATTTTTTGTAATGATTAAATGATGTATGAATTAAGGAGAGGGAACTTCACTGTCATGCTGATTGGCCTATATGAGACATTTGGATGCCTCTCATTCTCCTGATTTCTTGGAAAGTCAGACAACAAGTTAGTTCTGGTTTGGTGGTGTGGAATTTTGGCATGGATGACTTCATTTTAATTTTTTAACAATGAAAATGAAAACACTTGTAGCCCTTCCTTTATGGCCAAGATCTTACCTTTGTAGTTGATCTATCCTACAGAGGTATTCCTTTTTACATTTCCAAGCTATAAGACCAGATTCTGGGACCTCAAAATTAGTCAAACATTTTCCATATATTCTAAGAGCCCTTGCACATTCTTATGTCAATTATTACTCTTTCTTTCATTCCCTCTTCCTAGATAGATAGATGTCTCTATTAAAAACTATTTAAATACCCCCCCATTATTTAATTGTAACTTTTATGGTCTTTATTAGGGAAAAAATCAGAGTAAAAATAATTATATATAATTGCAATCACCATATATGTGTAAATCCATGAATATGTTTTGTTCAGTATTGTTTCATACATACTTTCTCAAGTTTCTACGTACTCTTCATTTTTATAATGTTTGAAATTGCAATAGTCTTTTTAATTTTTTTTTTAGTTGTAGATGGGCACAAT